ATTTCCACTTTTGCTCTATTTTTTTTTTTTTTTTTTAACAGAAGAAGAAGTGTCGTACTTTCGAAACCAACCTCCTTACAAGAAATTTTAAAGTTTTTGAAGCCGCTATCTTCGTTTTCGCGACCAAGAGAATATTTACCGGAGACATTACATAGACGGACAGACGCTCAAACAGACATACAGAATTCAAAAATCGATGCAAAATTTAAAGGTGATCAAGAACATATAAACTTTATGGAGTCTATGATGACCTTCCTCCAAAGTAGAGATAGAAGTTGACTTTGGTTAATATACGTAGCACATGCAAATGACTTACGTAGTTTTACAAGCAAGTCTGTTAAGAGACAATCGCAGCAATTGGCAATCGTAACTTATAGAGGAGATCCGAAATTATTAGTTAAAACAACGTAAGCAATATTCTAACGCAATTTGTAAGCCGTTAATGAAGTTTAGTCCGACAACGTGCTGAACAAATTATATCTATATCAGCACGTTTTCGCGGACTATGAAAAGCTTGCATTTGCATTCATTTGAAATTGATTTCATCTGTTGCGTTCTATTTCCAGGAATATATATACTAAGGTTTGCATTCCTAATACATTACTCTAAAATAGTTCAGACTGAAGTTGCAAGTGGCTTACCCCTTTCACTTGGGACTTCCCAAGCTCACTTTTTGAATGGTCTGAGGAAAAATTGAAGCTGTACTTTCATAAATGGATAGTAATAAGAACACACACAACCATACGCGGACTAATAGAAGAAGCAAAAGGATCGTAGCGTTTCCTCTGATACATGTTCCCAGAAAGTCTGCTCATGTTAAGCCTATTAAGCCATACTGAAATGCGTGGGAAAGGCAACAATCTGCGTAAATTCCACTGTGGCTCTCGATTAAAATGGCAAACAATTGATTTAATAAAAATTCATCTAAAATAAGCGATTGATATGTTTGAAGTCACAAATGAAGTGCTTTTGGCAAATGCAATGTTGCTTGCTAAGCTTTCTTTTTATTATTTCGTAACGTTTGGGAGGATCGATCGTGAAATCAAAGTATAGATCAAATAAACATGACCGTCTTAGTTTTTGAAAATCCGTAAGATTTCTTTAAAAGCCACCAACGTCCTATATTATAATGTAAAGTCAATAGTCAAGAGTTTATTCAAATTACTATAACGAAAAAATACGGATTTGCTGCTCTAAACAGTAGAGAGGAGTAGGTATAGTTCATTGGTTTCGCCAATTCCTCAGTGAATGCTTCCTATTCGTGCCAAACGGTGACACTCAAAAAGAAATTAGGAAGGAGAAAGAGGCAGAAAGATCGTTGCAGGTCTACTAGGGACGCTCATTATAGCTTCGCCCAAAGTACGCTCTACCGCACGTGAGATTTGAATCTGAGATTTGACACTGCCTTGGTAGTCACGGGCCTCACCTACCCAATTTCACGGCAAAAGTTCGTTAGACTCTAACGCAACTGCCTTGTCCCGTACAATTCACTAATCCATAATGCAATCTTACCCCACCTGAGTTGGAATAATTTTTAAAAGGAGTTAGTAAAAAATCGAAAATATTGAATGTTTTTAAATGAAAAATTTCAGGTGGCTGTTAAGCAGCTTTGATAAATGTAAATGTAAATAAAATGCAGTTGAAATTGTGATCTGACTGCATTTTCGGAAGTTACAAACAGAATGTAAAAGTTAATCTATCGACGCACTTTGCAAAAAATCATAACTGCATATTCATATAAAGCACAATTTTATGGTTTGGATATTTCAAAGGAACAATTGCAACGGAATGGAGTTTATTGGAGCGACATGCTCTGGACATGATTTTAGAAACTTTTGTCCACATTTCAATTTTCAACAGAAATTCTTGAGAGTTTAGAAAACACATGGCAGTGATTATATTCATTTGAGGTATATTCGTGAAACTCGAAAACTCGATTGGCATCATGTTACTTTTTACTTTATGGTTTTATGAACAAAAAAAAAATACATTTACACATAACTATCACAAATTAAGCTAAATACATTTTAACTGAATCAAATCTGCCATAAGATAAAAGAAAAGAGTTGAAGTGCCAAATTAATATACAAAAATTTTAAAGTGTGTCCTTGATTGTGTGTCGGCATATTTGCTGGCTCATCTTTTAGATAGCTATTCTATATCAAATTATAGATTGAAAGTTCAAAGTTCATACTTTCCGTAAAGAACGGGCAACACGTTCAGCAAATTTCGACATTGCCTTACGCGGCTCAGCGTTCAACGGATCAACAATCTTATGCTGGGAAGTTCTGATATGTGTTTGCTGATGCTCCAAAAGGGGGAGAAGGATGTTGTACTTTTACCTTTATTATGAACCGCATACTTTTCTAGTTACCCTGCCTGTCCACTTGTCATTAATTTCATTTATTTATAGTGGACTTTCAACCAACTTATCTGTTTCGAAATGATCTTGCAGGATATTTTCAAGCTTGTCTATAAAGCTCATATTTTTCAACAATGATTTCAAAAATAATGAGTTAAATGTTACTTTTCGTACCGATACTTTTTGATCGTCGCCTGCAATTAGAAGGAAATGACACTATCAGCATATTTCCGTATATCGATTGTAGTAAGTGCTTGCAAGTAAAAATTAGAAGAAATGAATTTATATAAAGCGCTCCGCTCAATACAGGCATTATCAGATGGTATGATGTTAGTGCGATACATCTAAAAAACGCTTATTGAAAACACCTGGAAGTTTTTATCACTGCTTCTTAAAACCCACCCGACATTATCAGAAACATCATTGAATTCGTTTACATTGAAAAGATATTGATTGATTGATAAGTCTCCTAAGCTATATATTCGTCCTACATCGTATTTTATACTTTCTTACGACTACTACCGTAACATTGCTTAAAGTCATTTGGACTTTCCCCTTTAACATAATGTAAGATATAATTGAATGAAAGTAAATTTTAAATAGATTACGTATTTAACTACCGCCTTGTGTTGTATTGTGTTGTAATACAAAAAATGTGATAACTCTTTCCGCTTGTTTTTATGGTGTAATTTACTTTTACTTCTGCTTTCAAAAATCCATATTTTACATATCGATAAAGTGTACGTGCGTAACCAATTAATACTGATAAACCCTAAATGGAGCTGTTTTTTTTTGTTTGTTTGTTGATTTTCTTTTCTTTTTTTTTTTGCTTTTTAATTGAAACAAAAAACAAACCTTAACTACTTCTCTTCCACGTAGAGCAACATAGAAAGTTGGAAGAGGTATCCGTTGATTTGCTTGACCACAAAACGTGTATAAATGCGCTAGCATAGTACAGCATTTTAACTTGCAAGCACTTTCTTCTTCATTAAAACTAGATTAGCATTAGAGTACCGATCAAGGCTACGTGTATTTAGTGATAATGTGCAAGCGAAAAATGAAAACCTATTAAATGGATTTTATTTTTTAAGTAATACCTTAAATGCTAAATATTCAGTAAGGCATTTATCTAGGGACCGCGCATCTGCAAACAAATGTGTATTCATGCACGTAAACATACATATATTTATATATATATAATATATACATATGTTTAAGCTTATATTAGGCAGTCGAAAGAATGTTGAGCTTAATCTGTAAAAGTTACCCTCTTTGAGATTCTATCATGACGCCTCTTCTTCTAGCTTCTATTTTTAGTTTTGACTAATATGATGATTTGACTAACATGTAATCATAAAAGGCTATACATTGATGATGTTTGCGAATTAGGCAGTTTTTCTTTCTTCTTTTAAATCAAACATCCCGTTCGTTCAAAGCAGCTTCACATCAGCGGCAGACTGACTATTCACAATTATTACCATCATCTCGTTAAGCAGACAAGTAAGTTCAGTAAGTCTTTGTAATGCTTTCGCGCCAAGAAGTCGTGTAGTAAGAGGGAATATTTTTCTCTTGATCTAAGTTTATTGATTGAATCTAGTTTAAGACCAATGCGAAGATGATGATTGTAGCAAAACGATGCACGAAATTATATCGTCAATCGTGTCCTGGACACAAATCTTATTTTTCGAAGTTTTATATGTTGACTCTATAACGAAGCAAAGCTGTCTGAAAATTGAATTCAAATACGATAGCATTAGAGTTCGGAATCGAAATTCTCCTCAATCAAGGTCAACTTTATTAATGAGAAAAACTGTCGTATTTTAAATCAAGACCGTTACAGTTAATAACAACTGCTACACTGCTGCATATCGTTTTATTTATAAAACAACCGACTTGTTGATGATTTCGATGTAAAAAACATTTTAAGCACTTTGCCAAAAATCGAATTTCGATGACGAGTTGTTTGTATGAAAACCCTTGTACGGCGTAAAATTTCAAGCTTTTATCATAAGTCACATCGACGAAGTCATACTAAGCGATAAATTTTATTTTCAAATGCATCATTTGAAGCTTGTTGCGGTTTCGGTAAGTTGATGCGGAATATTTGGCGAAATGTGTTAAAACAAATTGACTGGCAAGACTTTGAAGCTCTTCTACCAGAGAGATATCAATAACACAGGCAACGCATCAGGACATGAAATTGGCGAGAGAATTTCTTATCGGTTACTTGTAAAATGAAGTGTAATCGAAGCGGCTCTTAATGAAGAGAAGGAAATCTAAATGAGTATGAATTTATGTAAATGTTGAGTTGTTTAGGTCTAAATAATTTTTCGACAACCTAATATGTGTAAAAGGAATACAAAATAAACCATAGAGAACACATGAAATGTGCATTTGAGTACATTCATCAATACATTATGCATATATGTACATATTGTACATCTCTATTGGTTTACTATAAGGAGTGTTAGCGTGTGCTACAAAATATGTATTTCATTCATATGTCCAAGTATTTGCTTTTGTAAATTTGTGTGTCTGTGTGTGTCTGTGTGTATCTATGTGTATGTGTGTGTGCTTTTATGAACATTCATAACCGCTTGTTTAATATTCAGCACAGGAAATGCTATTGGCTACTCACTCAGAGTCACTGGCTGTCAAATATAATATAAAGGTATATGACTTTGAAATTGTGTTCGCTGGCTGTGGTTATGCTTGCTGTTGCGTTTTTTATTATTATTATTATTATT